ATAATGAATTTACTTCCTTCATTCAGAAATCCTGTTGACCAAGGGCTGTCAGAGGTACGAGTTATTGGATGACTAGAAACCAGGGATGTCTCTAGGGAGTCAACAGTTATTTTGACTCTTTCTGTAAAGCTTTCCTATATTTTGAGTATCTTGAACAGGTCTGCGAGGGAAGTCAGTTTTAAATTAATTTTCTCCTGGCAGGTTGTATCTGTGATAGATTGAAGAACTGCACAAAATCATCCACATAGCTAGGTGTTTAATAGCTCAGTCACTTCAGTGCCCCATTGGGGTCACTTTACGTCCTTTTTTTGACTTCCTTTCCATCCACAATAACATATAGTCTTAACAAGACTTGGAAGCAATTTTGATATCAAAAACGAAGAGAGAGCTCTACTTTTAATAAGCTTTAATATCAGGGTATCAGCAGCACCCTTGGTGCTATGGCCGGAAATGACAGTTTTATTATCCTTTCCTTTGAAACCGATAAATTGGTTCAGGCTAAGGGCTGCCTTTCTAGGTACCGCAAAAAAAAAGCAAGAAAAGAGAAACTATTACCAGAGTTATTTAAAGCTCTATAGAAAAATTCCAATGGACAGGAGATTTCACATGGTGGTTGTCACTGTGTGCTTAGTCCTGGGTGTTTGCCAAATGCAAAGGGACATTTGTGTATGTGTGTGCATGTGTCTGTTTCAGAGAGAGAAGAGGAGAGAAAGTTTAGGTTTGGGCTTGCTTTTGACTTTGCCTTTGCTTACAGCCGTCTATGAACAGCATTTTAACAATATCACACTATTAACAATATAGACCAAAGTTCAGTATCATCTCCACTAAGGGAATGGTTCCCAATTCACATTTGCCCAAATTAGCCAGGACATTTTAAGTGCAAGCTTCAGAAATCTACCTCAAATGTGCTTTGATAGTGTGTAGAAATCCTTTAATTTCGTAAGGAATGCCTATGGTGCCATGAGTATTCAGTATTACATCTCTGCCAATACAGGGGTGTGACCACCACAATTATGGATCTTTTGTGCACTTGCCCTTAGCACTCCCTGATCTCAAAATTGGAGAACTACCTGTGAAAGGTCTCTGTACTTCTCGAGACAGGTGGCCATATAGCTCCAGAGGCTCAAATTCCAGAGCGCGGTCTGTTTTCCAGATGCCATACTACCTGATTGGAGGCCTAGAGGAGGGAATGTGCTGGTTTCTGAGAAATCAGAAATGGTGCACTCAGGTCCAACTCCTGTCATCATTACAAACTGTAGAATTTTTTCCAAGTACCATAATTTTATTTTTCAATTGAAGATTTGGAGTTGAAAAGATCTTTTAATAATCTAGTTTACTTAGTTACAGAGAGCTGAGACCTAGAAAGAGAAAATTGCAAAGATAGGAAGAAATTGGTTTAAGACCCAGCACTAGACTTTAGTTCTGAACCTCCTGATGCTTTCCTCATATACCACAGTGCTTACTTAGTGCCCTAGGTAGTTAGAGAATTTTAGTTTTTAAAATGAAAGAGAACAGCATCAACATCATGGAATATCCAGTATAATGACAAGGGACCCTAAGCATTCTCCCCCTTACTGCCAGTATCTGCATGATTAACCAGCTTTCTACCTGTAATAGTACCATGTCTCAACCTGACAATTTGAGGACATATTTACTAAATTTGAGTTGCTTATTACTCAGAGCACTGAGCTTAATAACCTGCACTGTTTACTAAGAATTCAGTTGGAATTTTTGCTCTGGGGAAGAATATAGGCAATCTCAGCAACATCATAGTCTGTTCAGCCACTGTGAAAGCCTTGTCCCATCAGAGTGAAGCACAATCCAAATTAAGGCCCTCTCACAGCATCCTGAGAATCGGAGTTGTCAGGACTGTGCTCTTAACAGATGAAATTTCATCACAGATTAACAATACAGCACTGCTCTCCATCAACTTTCCCAAAGTAACAAAGAGGAAGGCTGTATTGAATAGTGGCTAAGAATACATGTTTTGGAGTAAATTAGATGCAACATTAAATCACACTTCCACTACTTTTAATCAAATTCTGAACTTGTTTCCGTACCTGTACAACTGCTGTGCAAGTACTATAAAATAATACTACTGCATTATAAGGAGTAAATCAGAGAGTTTAGTTAAACCCAAAACAGAATCTAACACATACAATGCAGTAAAAAATGGTACCTGATACTATTATTACATCATTACATCCGAGAGTTCTTAGATCAATCAGTACACATGCACTTAAGCAGCACCCATATTGAACTGAGTTCATGGTTTCTACAGAGTAAATAAACACAAATTATTCTTCCCTGTCAGACTTACAACATGTTCCTTGGTATTGGTTAGTTTCACAAAGCTTCCAACATTATGCTAAGTGAAAAAAAATCTGCATCAACTATATGAAACCCCAACTGTCATTTTTGTAGGTATATCTTATTAAAATACCATTATGAGTTCTATGCAGGTATATTTTTTAGCATGGAAGAGTGGAAAAATTATGAACTTTGAAATCTGACACACCTGGGTTGGACTTCCTGCTTCACAACTCTCAGTGGTCTTGGGAAAATTATTTCACATACTTGAACATATTTCATCATATAGGATGGGGCTGCTGCTGCCTTGGTGCAGTGTTGTTCTTCTACCCTGCAAGCTCCTGAAGACTGAATACCAAAGCTGCATTAGCCAGCCTTTTTTATACTCCCCAACCTTCATTTTATCTATCCTCTAGGGAGGACCTCTTTCATATTTGAAGCTTTATGTTTACAATGTGGGCAGCAGGGGAAGCCGAGGAGAAAAACAACCACATGTAGTGCCAGTGTGCCATGCTGGCCAGCCGCACGCTGGGGCTGCCGCTTGCTCCCCTGGAAGCAGCTGTCTGGGCCGCCTCATTGTACCATATGGTCCTCATCTTGGCTTCTACTGATCCCACCCTGCTAAGATTCTAATGGACACACTGAGATGCTGTTGTCCTTGTTCGAGTTGAAGTGACAATTGTTAAGCATGGGACTCATGTGATGTTCCCAAACAAAAGCTGTATCAATAACATATTTAAAGCAATTCTCCACTTCACATTTTTCATTCAAATGGAGCAAAATCCATTGCAGATGAATATTTAGAGGTGGAATGAGGTACCAAGAAGAGATCTTCACAACTAGAGAACCGATATTTGTCTCCCTAAATATTCTCCCTTCATTGAATCTTTAAATACTAAGGGTGATTAATCAAAAACAACCACTCAGCAATATAAATGAGTTGGAAACTCTAGGGTTTTCTTTTCCTTTGAAATCACAATTGTTAGAAATGCTGATGGACTTGAGAAAGCCTGTGGACATAACTCTGTTGAATTTAGTAAATTTGAGTTGCTGCCTGGCTGAGTATAATATGTAAACTGAGCATCTGCAGCAGCATTGCAGGGAGGACCAAGTTGCACCAAACACTACTTGGTGCAGTCTGCTATATCTGACACTTTGTCATGAAGGTTGACATAGCATTGCAATCAATTAAACAAATAAGCTACAAGAATACTATTGACTGGGAGCACAACACTTCAGCAAATCTAGGCATTGGAGTGCATGTGCAAAAAAAAAAAATCCATCAACTCTTTCTCAGCCATTTACGTATTCAGAATGCAAGCGCAACATAATGTCTAATATACAATGATGCTCTATAGGCCCAAAGGACCCTTACTGTAAAGAACGCCTCCTAACACTTATTTCAACAGATATTTACCCTCTCATTACATATTAGTTCTTTTGTTTATTTTAATGATTAGACTTGTCCCCTCTAGAAGCTCGACAGGACTCATTTCTTTGATCACTTTTGTTCTTTTTATCACATGTATACATTGATTTTTCTCTCGCCAAAGGCATTGAATTCAACACTCTTTCATTATATTGGTCTTGATAGCTTCCTTTGACATGATCATATCATCAGTGACATCAGCCAGGTTTGGGAATAGAACATAAGTGGATAAATGCAAAAAGGTCTTGATTTCCTACATCTTACCCCTTCCACACTACAGAATATAATATAGATCTCTAAAATAGCATCTTGATCATGAACATTAGATAAATATTTAAAATTCATCTTAAAATATATATATTGATCACAACCTAATGCTTTGTGTCCTTCAAAACAGTATTATATGAAAACCAACTTAGAGGCAGTGATTGAGTTGCTAATAATAAGGTTTACATTCAAAGTGGACCCAGTGCTTTTATGTTCTAGAAGTGCAGCTGATCCTGTCACGCTTTGACCAACAGACTGTGGCAAAAGTGATTCTGCATGACTTTTGGTAACATACCACGAGAAATGTTGCAGCTTCCATCTTGGTATTTGGGAACACTCACTCTTGGGAGGACCCTGTAGGAATCCACCATATTGTTGGAGAGCCACATGAAGACATGAATTGAGTTCTGGTCCACAGCATCAGTCGCCCTGCAGCCTGTAGTCAGTATCATCCGCCATGCATTTGAGGAAGCCATAGGGGATTCCAGCCCAACAAAGTCCTCAAATGAATGCAGCCTCAGCTGATACTGGACTGCAAGTGATGAGGGATCTCAACAATCACCACTGAACCCAGTCAGCACACATGACTGTAGGAAATAATCTAATTTTAAGCCACTAGGTTGTATATAACAATAGGTAGCTGAAATGATATTTTAGTTGATAGAAATTTGATCACACTAAACTCTCTTCTAAAAAGCTATATTTGATCTAAATCTTAAATATAGATAAAGAACTACTGTATTATTATTCTCTTTCATTTTATTCAACCCACTGAAGTGAGTCTTATGATACATCCCACCACTAATTCTGAACTTCAGAAGGTCATTTGTAACCTTCTAATTTCCAACACCATCCTTAGGAAAAATCCTATAAGCCCATTGTGTTCCCAGTCTTTGTAGCTTCTCTATAGCATTTGCATTGGCTTTAGTTTTAAAACTCTTTTATTTTATTTGACTGTATACCATTTCCTCATAGTTCTCTTCTTTAAAACTAGGAGAAATATAAGGAATGACACTTCTCAAATGCAGGAATGGCTGTGTGCCCAGATTACCAAAGCAGAAGAGAAAAGAGGGCAGACAAAGAAATACAGAAAGAAGAAATCTACAAAAGATAAGATAAGAGACAAGGAGAATTTTATCCCTTTTTATTGATTCATTATACCTTTGGCCCAAGTCTGTGCCCTTGACCAACATGCAGAAATCAAGAGGAAGGTATCTGAGTTTTTTCTTTTGAAAAAAAACTTGTTATTATTCTAGAAATTAGAATGTGAAGGTAACATTTTCTTAAAACACCCTCTTATATCACAACTGTTTATCTTTTCAGCTACATTATGAGCTCTTACCATACCCATAATAAATGTTTGAATAACAATTTTCAACGATGCAAAACATCCTTTTAAATTTTTGAGTCGATGTTGAGTAAAGAACACTGTCATTATCTCTATTAAAAAATAATGTTGTGTTATCACTCACTCATTGCATGGGATGGGAAGAGGGTAACATACTTAGATCAGGACATGATATGGATTCTCAGTCTCCGCATTCCAGTGTGATCACATTTATTAGGACCTTTTTTCTTTCTTCACCCTTCCTTCCTTTCGTTTCCTTTCTTCTCCTTTCCTCTCCCTTTTCTCTCTTCCTCTTCACATTGCTTTATTTATTTTATTTGTTTCTTAAATATGTGAAATAGGTTTAAAGGCAATTTTGTTTTGATATTGAGAACTTTTCATAGCAGAATCCACTGCTGCACAAATCTGTGAATGAACAGTGCAAAAATTGAGATCTCAATTTGTGTTAATCTATGTTATAACACAAAACTCTAGAAAGATGAACAATTCTTATGTTTGCAGATCTATCAGCTTCATGGCATCTGGATCAAATGAGCATCCTGAGGAAATGTTTTATCACTGCACAGCTGCTGTTTCTATGATCTCTTTAGTTTCGAGCCACCTCAATATCAGCTATAGCCATGCCTACCTGCTTCAGAGATCTGAAAAGCCCAGTTTTCTTCCTGGAACCCAAGCAGAAGCAGGATTTTTCACATAGGAACAAAAGTGTTTTGGTCCTGTTTCTCACATATACTAGCTGTGGGATCTGGATAAAATTAATTTATCTTTGTTTTGATTTATTTACTCATAAAAGAGAAATGCATGTAGAAGAAATGTGTATTAAGTATTAACAATAGGAAATATCATGGGTTTGCAGTGGGTATGTACTTTTTGAAGAGTCATACTATACAAAGAGTAAAAAGTTTGGTCTTCAAGTGAGGTAAACGAGCTGACCTGTCTCCCTGAATCTTTTGCACTGAGTTACATTTTTTGGATAAAATACACCTTAGCACCTTCCCTCTTCCCCCCCCCCACTTTAATTATCTGACCTCTGAGTAAAAAAAATATCTCCCCTGTTTCTACTTACCATAACAAAGAAGGAAAGGTTGCATTTTTCCAAAGAACTTTCAAAGCACAAAGAGAATAAAAATGATGATGGAAACAAAAAATACTAACATTATATTAGCATATGATATACATACACATATGTTTCTGATGCTGACTTCAGTTAATTGTACCCAGGGACAAAGGAAACTATTCTCTGAGGAGATGCACACACACACACACACACACACACACTTCAAAGAACAGATAGAAGTTATGTTTTTCTTGTTTGTTAGCTACAAGTCTATCTCCATATTTTAGGAACTATCATGGAATACACACATAAAAAATATCTCATAGATATCTTGTCCTCTTTGTTCAAATACAAAAATGAGTTCTTAATCTTTCCCTACCTAGGACTTTATTTAATTCTGAGATCATGATGAAAAAAGTACTATTTACACACACACACACACACAACCTCTTTCTTTAACTATGGTCCTACCACCTGTATGCAGAGAGCAAATTTTTCCCTGTATTGATCCAATATATAAAAAGCAGGAAAGTCCAAAAAGTATTTTATGGCTGTGGAATGGTCAAGCAGGGATAAAAAAAAAACACTATTCTAACAAGTAGAAACTCCTACAACATGGTTCACAAAGTGGCTGTGAAGGCTAAATACAATAGCATATAGGAAGATGCTAAGTAAGCTGTAAAGCAATATGAGAAGTCTGTTTAAATCTGAAACAAGACAATTTTATTTTGTAGGGAAGAAATGCATTCAGTAGTTGAACAATGTCTGTTTACCCTTAGGTACCTGTTAATATTCCGAAGCTGGCTGCTCAGTTTGCTTTCTGATTTGTTTCTTTACCAATATCTACTCCTGAGGGGTATTCAAAATACTTAACAATAGAAAGGCAAAGTTACTGGTCACTCAGAATGGATGCTGCTTGTGAACATCTCTCGTTACTGGTACACAAGGATTGAATATCAGACCACCTGCATCAGCTAGAGAGTGAAAGGAAGGCAAATGATTTCATTGTGGTTCTGACTCATTCATTATCTGAGTTAATATCTAATAAAGGAATATGTTTTGAATATTAGCTAGCATGATATTTAGAATGGATTATATGCTGCATTTTGTGTTCCGTGGGTTTGAGGAGGAAAGGAACACACAAGCAGTGCGTGTACAGGAAGAAGTAATGCCTCAGCTCGTTTTTGGTGACTTTATTTGTACTCACCCATCACGGCATGGCATTCAGTACACTCTCACTGACTTATCACAATGTCCTCATGAGTTGTATAATTTCAGTTTATTTCATATGATGGAAATGTGAAGCATGCAGAGGTTAAGAGCTTGTCCCCTTTGTAGGCCCTGGTGCCAGGAATAGCTATGCATGTTCCAAATGTTGACAGTTGCCCTTTTCTCTTGAAGTGGTGAATATGGTAAATAGAGGCACAACTCTTTTTGGAGCTTTTCTTAACTTTAGGAGAGAGAAAGCAAAAAACCTCACCTCCCAGGTTTCCCTATAGGTACTTTGCAAAATATGATTTGTGTTTGGACACTCTGATGATTTTTGTGAATTCTGGAAGATGGAAATAAAGGCTTCATTTTGTTCTCTTGAGTTTCTGCTGGTAGGCAGTCAATGGGCTATTAGGGTCACTTTGTCAGTGTTAGCAGAGATGTTGGTATCCATCCAGCCTCTAGCTTCCTAGATGTCTAGAGGGAAGGTGAAGTATGTTATTTCTGTTATGATTCAAAAAGGGCAGGATACTTCATTCATGAGTTTTCTGGCAAGTTTTGTAGTTGTGGTTACTTCCTGATGAAAGCATTTTCTAGACTTCAATAGCTTACTCACAGTAGCAATAGCAGTGTAAACTGCTGGCCAGGTTCTGCAGTATATCTTTTGGTGTCAGTCCTGAGCGTTCAGTTAGAATCTGTTGAGCCCCACCAACAATTCTAGAAGCCATGTCCTAAAACATAGGGAAATATGTATTGCTCAAACTACCTGGAGTAGATACTGTTTTCTAAAACTAAACCTGGACTGAAACTATAATTGGAACCAGTAGGGACTGTAGGTAGGACACTAAAGGACATGAGAATTTGAGTTTCATTATCTGAGCCAATTAGATGTGCATGAAGAGATGTTTCTATTAGCACTGTAATCCAAGGGACCAATGGTAGACACTATATTTAATTATACAAAGGATGGTTGAAGGCAAAGATTAAGTGGACAAGTGGCTATTCGCCACTGAGGGTCATTATTGCACAAGTCAAGAATACAAGAACTGTGAATGTGATGGAGAGCTTAAAGGAAGCAAATGGTAAGCCCATGGTTTTATAGTCTCAGCTGAAGCCATGGGGACAGGAGACCAGGACACCTTCTATGATTATTGTCACATAGCACCTTATTTCTTCTCACTTTAAGGCAGATATATGTTTATGTTTACAGCTGGGTCTGATTCTGAGAGCTACTGAATGACAACAAATTTGAATGCTTAAACTGGCCATTGAAAACTGGGGAGTATTTGAGAAAGAGTTGGGCTTCAAGAGTTTAAGAACTTTAAAACAGATTTGGATGATTCAGAGTATCCGTGACCGAGAACAATGACAGCAGAAATAAACCCTATTTCCTCTGGTGCAGTCAGGTCATGTTATTTAGACTTGAACCCTAAAACAGCTTCACCTAAAGATTTATTCTGTAAAGGGAAGCCATTTATCCTCACCTCTATTGCCACCTCTCAGACCTATAGCTCACCAGACCCCAGGGGGACAAAAATAAAGTTTGACCTTAAAGGACAGTTATACACCAAAAACTTCAAAGATTTGCTAATTTATATCAGCAAGAATCTAGGTACTATGTGTGTAAATTGACTTTTTGTGTCATTACCTAAGTATAAGGACCAAAATTTTATATTGATCCAAGTTTAGGACATCTTTATCAGAGATTCTGCATTCAAAGAATTAATTTATGGAGCTGGTAGTGGTTTTACTAGCTTCTCAGTACAGACTGAAATCTAGACTCAGGGGCAGACTATGTCAAGTGAAGTTGAAACACCAGAAACTTCTGGGTATAATAGAAAGAAAGGATTCTAAATATTCAGGGAGAAAGCAATGCGCACATTATGTGTAAGCTACACATTAAGCCCACACATCCACCCCTTTGGAAGATCTGGACAACACTCCTTCACTAAGGCTTAAGAAATACATGAATGGCATTCTACAGTATGGGAGAATATGTTTGTAAATAACATATCTGATAAGGGGTTAACATCCAAGATATATAAAGAACTCACACACCTCAACACCCAAAAAGCAAATAACCCAATTAAAAAATGGGAGGAGGATATGAAGAGACAGTTCTCCAAAGAAGAAATTCAGATGGCTAACAGCCACATGAAAAGATGCTCCACATCACTAATTATCAGGGAAATGCAACAAAAACCACAATGAGGTATCACCTCACACCACTTAGGATGGCCAGTATCAAAAAGACTAAGAACAACAAATGCTGGCGAGGATGTGGAGAAAGGGGAACCCTCCTACATTGTTGGTGGGATTGTAAGCTAGTTCAACCAGTGTGGAAAGCAATATGGCGGTTCCTCAAAAAACTAAAAACAGAAATACCCAAGAATTCCACTTCTAGGAATTTACCCAAAGAATATAATTTCTCAGACTCAAAAAGACATATGCACCCCTATGTTTACTGCAGCACTATTTACAATAGCTAAGATATGGAAGCAACCTAAGTGTCCATCAGTAGATGAATGTATAAAGAAGATGTGGTAACATATATACAATGGGTATGGGGGGGACATGATAACATGGGTGAATGTAGTAACTATATTGTTTATTCATGTGAAACCTTCTTAAGAGTGTATATCAATAATACCTTAATAAAAAATAAAATAAATAAGTAAGAAATACGTGAATGAAGAGAGAATCGGCACTGCTTAAATCAATCAATCTATCTATCTGTCTAAAACCAAGGATAAAATTAGGAGATGCTCCACCTAATGGTTTTCCCTGATTTTGGTAGAAATGATCAGACCACCAAGTACCAGAAGCTACATGGCAACACTTCTTAACCACTACAGTTCAGTTGAACACAGGCTTAACTTTGTGACCCAGTCCCCAGATTTACTTAGTTTACAGACTAATAGCTTCTGCAGGAAGGAGGGCCTATGACACTTTCAACAATTATCCTATTAGAGACATTATAGCTCTAAGTCTTCCTCACAGACACATCCAGAGAGACAAGTAAATATTTACCAGGGAATCTGTGCATAGACTGAAAGTAAATCCTCAACCTTAAGTAGCTCTGAGCAAATTCTAATCTCTATGGATCAGGAATATCACTTTGGTCCACTTATCAGAGTCAAGGTTGTGAGATTCAAGTGATAAATAACTTATTGCCCAAGTCAAATCAACTATGAGCCCAGGGAACCTGAAAACCCAAGCTCTTATTATTTCTTTGATTGCTGAATGTATACTTGAAATAAGCTATAGGCAGACTTCCCACACTGGTTCCTGAACAATGGTATGGGTGATACTGTGGTATCAAGGAATAAGTGGAAGCCCCTAGAAATAATGCTACCTACCAAAATAGCATGCAAAGTCAATACCATGTTTCTAGTGAGTCAACCTCTATGCTTGACAAAAGATGCGAGAAAAACTCCGAAAGTATTCAGGTTTCTGCCATGTTCAAAGTCAATACCATGTTTCTAGTGAGAAAACAAAGATTACAGCCATCATTCAATAACAGAAAGATTCAGGTCAGTGAATCTTACCACAATTCCATTTAATTATTTTTTAGTTATAAAAAAATAAACAGGTAAAATGAAAAATGACAGTGGACTTCACAAATTTTATAAAGTGATTAACAAATTACAAGTGCTGTTCCATTTCTTGTCTCCTCATTGAAGTTAACAACATACGCCTTACCTCTGGAATGCAGATACCAAGTTGGCCTCTACTCTACCCCAGAAATCTGTGCAGTTATCAGAGAACTGTAGAATAAGTTTCCACTCACCTGACACAGATAGAACACTAACACTGTCTTACCTCAAAACTATGGCAACTCTCCAGCTCTCATTCGTGATTTACTTTCCAAGAATTTGGATTACTAATCCAGGACACCCCGCTGGTATACTATATTGATGGCATCATGCCAAAGGAAGAAGCAGACACCTCTATGCTTGACAAAAGATGCGAAAAAAACTCTGAAAGTATTCAGGTTTCTGCCATGCCTGTGGCATTCTTGGGGATGGAGGAAATTAGTGGTATATAACATTGCTGTATATCACCACCACAGTGAAAGAAAAATCACTATACCTTATTACACTTACTACCCTGAAAGAAAGTACAATCCTTAAGGGGGTCTCTTTGAAACTTGAAGGCAAATATATCACATTGATACATTTGGCAAGTAAATTATAAAGCATCAGCTTTAGGTAGGACCCCCAACTCCAACTATGAGTGGTTTTCTTGACTGAGCTGCAGAGCAAGCAGTTCTGCCACTTGACCAATGTACCAAACAATGCTTCACTATGTGTGCATAGCAGGTGGGGACGCTAAATGAAGCCTGTGGTAATCGCTCCTGGGGGAACCACAGCCCAAGCTAGTAGGATTTTAGAACATTGTACTCTATGGCAGGTAATACTTCACTCTTTGAGAAACAACTTTTGTTTCTTATTAGAAGGGTACAGCCAGAGGAAAGAAAGGGAAGCATTTTATTTAGGGAGAATACCCTGAGAATAGAGAAGGCAGAGTGTGTGTCGAGTGCTAGGGAAACCATAAACCTTGTTAGGCTGCATAGAGACTCTGTGTGTGAGTAGATTTACTAACTGGAGGAACAGATCTTCCTGTTATGTTATAGAAATTTTGCCCAAATGAATTTAAACTACACTGATTTGATCCTGGTTTTAAAATTCTATAGCCAAGAATGCTTGGTGGAAATATTTTTCACTTTGGTCAGGACAAGTGTTCTACAGTGAAACATGCTCAGGAACTAGAAGATTCAATGCACAGCTTGACACAGCTGGAAATAACTCTGTACTGAAATCAACTCAGTGTCCTGCAGTGGCTTAGAAAACAATATATAGTACAGAGCATTTAAGCCTATCATAAACTGACAGTTCTCCTAAAACAGGCTGAGTACAAAGAAGCTGCCTTTGAATTTGGAACACACATACACACATGCATACATATATACATATACACATGAATATGATGAATTTGAAAACTAACAAACACATGAATATGATGAATTTGAAAACTAACAATTGAACATTTTTAATAAATGCTATATTCTTACAGACCAAATACTACATGGCCTTAATAACTGTATTTAGGTATGCTATGCCATTTGGGATTTTAGTTCCTGGCAGGTGAAATATAAAATATTCATTTTCTTATTCACTGTTTTTCTCTGGTTTCAGAAATACAACTTTCAATAATAGATTTATTTTTTCACTCACCAACCTAAGCTCTCAGTAGAAAAAGCAAAAGTCGGTGTCTCTAGTCTCTCTCTCCTATTTTTGGGGGCAAAATGATATAATAGATGAACTGTGTATAAACTGTGAATTTGTATTAGTGAATGGTAGGTGAGTAAAATTTAAGTGACCCACTTCATGGGTACTTTTTCATACTAAGTACTATAAAGAATATACATATAAAATATCAGTTAGTGCCTCAAAATAGCCTTTGAAGAATTAAGTTTGCTCCATTTTTTATCATGTTTTCTCTTCCACTTGTCTGAGGAACACAACATAATCATATAACTATTGAAACACATTAAATAAAAATTAATTATGCTGAGTATGCTGCTGCCAAAAGAAGAGTGTGCAACTCCACGCCATCAAACCGATGGTCCAGCATGAATCTTTGAGAAGATCATATCAACCATCAGACAATACCGTGTACTCACATTCTCCATCTACTTCAAACAACCTTGTTTTTTGTAATATGGAATTGTTCCTCCAAGAACCAAACATGCCTTTTTGTTTTAAAATAGACTATTTTTTAAAACAGTGTTAGATTCACGCAACAGACAGGACCTTTTTGAATATTTGGATCATCCACAGCATAGCACCACACTTTAGCCATAAAGATATTCGAATGAATGTTTTTATTATCTTTAGTATGCACACTAATACAATTAAATAATGAATTAAATTATTATAATATTTGTCTTAACTAGAAAAATATATTTTAAAAAACAGAAAAAATTATAAGAATAAGAGAAGAAACAAACACTAGAAACTAGAAGAATAAAAAAATGACAAGTAATCCTAAAACAGTAGTTCATCTAATTTTCTAAATGAGGAAAAGAAAAAATAAACAATTATGGGAAATACAAATTAAAGAGAAGATTTAAAAGTATCACAGGAGCCTGGGGAAAAAGATGGCACAGTGAGAAGTGAGGCAGAAACCTCCTCCAAAAACCACAAATAACATGAAAATAAAGCAAATACAACTAATTCTGAAAGAGTATTGGGAAGAAGACTGCAACAGATGGCCTACATCTGGGGAAAAGAGAAGACCTCAAAGAAAAGGGCAAAGTAGTAAAACCACAATCCAGCAGGACCCAACTCCTCTGCCCTCCCCAGTTCATAGATGGGAGGAAGAGAAACACAGTGGGGAGGGAATAGAAGCTATAAACTGCTAAACACTGACCTCTGGAGATCTGCTCTGGGAGCATGAACCCACATTACACGTTGTTGTGGAGATTACTGGGATGGAAAGCTAAGACAGGCAGAATATTTGGAGAAACTGAGATTCCAGCCACTTGTGGGAACAGGTACCCACAACCAGCCACTTCAGGACAAAAGAAAGGCAGGCACTTTGAAAGACATCCCAATGGTGAGAGGGCAGATAAAGGGGCAAGGATTTCACAGAGCTTGCTACTCAGGAGAAAGAACAGGTAGACAAAATCGTCCTGGCACATGCAGCCACATAGGTGGGGAAACTTCTGGAGCTTCAAGAGCTCCATCTCTCAGGCTGGCAATACAGAGCCACAGCCCCCAAGTGTGATACACAGTCTGCCACTCCATAGTCCTGGATGGCACTGATTCATAAAACTGTGGCCCCCACAATCACGCTAGACCAGCTGGATGGCGGCTCCACCTACCACAGCTACAAAGGCATAATGCAGAGGATCCTTCGGCACACTCAGCCAACTGGCCCTGGCAATAGAGACAGAAACTGCAGCCAGGAAGCATAAAAGAGCTCTTTCATCCCAGCAGACACCAGGGCCCCTCAACTGTGATCCCCACCAACACTTCAGAAAAAAGATAACA